AAAAAAGATTTGAACGAAAATAAGCCGAGACTGTGCACACTGAACACCCTTTATGCTCTCACATCAAAATAACAAGGAGTGTGGGAAAGCGATTAAGATTGAAAGGATCGGGTTACTTCCAACCCAGGGACATTAAAATGTTTTGCTAACTCTACTCAAGAAGAACGATAATTGCTATTGAATGTCCTCCTTTTTTTCTCTTTCGCTGGTGGTACGGTTCAATCGATTCTTTCCAACAGAACAGAAAAAAGCCATTCATACAAAGAAAAAGAAAAACAACTGTGGTTGAAAAAGCGAATGGTGATACCTCCTTAAAAGAAAATCTACATTACTGAATATGAGTGCGCCTGTAGTATTGATAGAAAACCAGTCGCTACTGACAGCCCTGACTGCTATTGACAACATCTCTGTCACTAGTCCGGACGATATGAAACGATTCTATGTCAATGCCATTCGTCGCTTGATTCGGAAGCTCGACCGAAGACTGCTCCCTTTTATTGTTTTCCTGGAAATTAGTTCGTTTATCAATCGAGTGAGCATAGGTATGTGTTTTGGATTTGAATCATTAGTCATTGATGATATTCTTCTAGGTCATGCTAAATTGATGGGCATTCAAACCGATCTGCATATGTCAGACTCAGAGAGTAGTTGGGCCATTTCACTCTTTTATATTGCCCGTGTAAGAAACTGACGTCCTTATATTTCAATATGTTCCAATGTGACTTTTTCTTCTAGTGTCTCTTTGATATTCCGAATAATCTTCTCCTGCGCTTCATCGGTCCGACTCGTTATCTGGCAATGAGTATGCTTGCGTGGGGTAGCATTACTGTGGGTATGGCTTTCGTAACTAATGGTCGACAGTTACTCATTGTCCGCTTTCTGATCGTAAGTGAACTGACGATTTCAACTGAGAATAAAACATTTGAGGATTGTCATTGAAGGGCGTGGCTCAAGCAGGCTATTTTCCTAGTATCATCATTTATTTCTCTCTTTGGTACTGTAAAAGAGAGCAAATTATGAGAATAACTATTCTCGTTGGTGCCGCCCATGCTTCCGCTGCTCTCGATGGTATTCTGGTACGTACTCATCGACATATCAGAGATCATTTATTTTGAGCTATATAGTAGAATCTGCTATTGTCATTAATCTAGACTTATGGCATGGCACAAATGAAAGGTATCGGTGGTCTGAAAGGTTGGCAATGGACATTTTTGCTTGAAGGTTTACCGATCATCCCGCTCGGTATTATTACCTATCTTTTCCTTGACAATGTACCAATGCTGTTCAGTGTAAGAGTTTAAAGAAGAATAGAAAATATTCAAGATTGCTTTTGAAAATTTAGGGTTGAATAATATTGAGAAACAGCTATTGACAAATCTTCTCCGAAACGATTCAGGTGTAGCCGACAGTGAGCTCATATCAAGTACTCGACTTTCATGGCGACAAGTTCGTTATGTTTTCATCGATTGGCGAATCTATTTGTATGGCCTAATTTTTGTTGGCAATACGACCGTTATCGTATGTCTGACAGCGTTTCTTCCGACACTAGTCGAAAGTATGGGTTGCTCCAAAACTGAAGCACACATAATGACAGCACCACCTCATATTGTCGCATGTGTTTGCTGTTTACTGGCTGGTTATCTGTCTTCACGTCAAAATGAACATAGCTATAATCTTGCATTTTGTCTATTGGTCGCTTTATTCGGATTCATTCTAATGCTCACTCTGTTCAATCAAGGCAAAGTGGCAGTCTATGCCAGCAGTATTGTTGCTTGTTGTGGTGTACTCGCTGCATTTCCTTTACTACTCTCTTGGTTAACAAATAACGTTGGTGGTCATACAAAGAGAGCAATGGCAATCAGTTTCGTTTGGGGCATCGGTCAAATCGGTGGCATTGCCATTCCGCTGGTGAGACTACTGCTTGAGAAAACTTATAGAAAAACTTCTGAAGTCGATTTCTAGCATGTCAATGCCTTTAGAACAGTATTAATAGCGATAGTTGTGTTCGTAGATCTATAGAGACGTTGATAAGCCAACTTATCGACGCGGACATTTGATCTGTGCTGGAATGATGGTTGTCAGTTTCATTGTTACCATTATTTTACGCATTTGTTTAATGAGAGAAAATCATCGACGGACAAATTTATCACTAGAGGAGTATGCACGTGAAGCAGCTATCAAAGAACCCTGCGATCGAGTAAGTTCATGTTTGATTTTCTTAGTTTACAACGTTGTTCTCTCATTGTCTTTAGCATCCTGACGTACGCTACGTGTTGTGACATAGATTTATCACAATGAACATCAAAATCAAATATTTTCTCAATTAATTCATCATAATTCGTGTTGTATTTTTTGCGCAATAAACGAATGTCAAAGATGAAACAAACATAAAAACTTTTTCACGAGGAAGTGACACATCATA